GTCCCCACTACTCGGTGGACGTGCCCACGCTTTTGGCTTTCACTTTTACGGGTATGTGTTTTATTTGTGTTTTTTATTGTTTGTTTGTCTTTCTTGTCGACTGCGCCTATTCCCCGCGCTGCGTGTGTGTCCTTCCATTACATTTCTGTTTCTGCGCCTAGCTGCCATTCGTGTTGATTTGCCGTCTCATTGCATCTTGCAGTCCTTCCTTTTCTTATTGCTTTGTTTTTTGCCGTGCATGTTTTCTGCAAGTGTAGGAGCTAACACACACACACACACACACACGCCATGTCGCGCACGCTGTGGAGCGGTGTGAACCTTTGAGGACGCGTGCACGCACGAGTGTTCTGGTGGCGGCAGCCCTCGCCAACATGCCCGTGACGCCCAGGCCGTGATGGTTTGGCCGCGAGAACAGGATGGAGGAGGTGTTGCTGCAATTTCAGTCCGTGCGGCCGCTACCCCGCGCTGCAGACAGAGGAGGGCTGCGTCTTCGAGTCCGTCGCCATCCTGCGGCACGTCGCGCGTCTCGATCCGGGCGGCGGCTTCCTGCAAGACTGAACATCGCCGGAGAGCGGACGGGTGGAGTTGCAGGCAGTTCCTCTGGTGAGGCCGGTCGACCGGTTGCGGTGCGGTGGTGGTGCAGTGCCCGGTGCCGGGGGATGCGATGTGCCCGCGCTGCCATTGGTATGCCAGGGTTGGGGCGGGCATTGTGTCACCAGAGCGGGAACACGCGGCTTCGGCGGTGCGTTGGGGCGGGGTGTGACCTCGGGCCGTTCCGCTGCACGCGCGGACTAGGCACGGTCCCTCTGTCTCGCAGGGTGCAGTGGAGTGGTTGGAGCGTGTTCCGGCTGAAAGGACTGGCGCTGGCACCGGGGCGCGGCGGATTTGTGCTCCCTGCACGAGGCGCGTTTCTTGTCTGAGGAATGGGGTGGGTTTCCTTTTCCTTCGGCGGCTGGCGGGCGGGCTTGGCTCCGCCACCGCAACGAGGCTGTGGTCTTTGAGTGTTTGTTGGGGGCGGCGTTGGGGCCATACACCGGCGCAGGGAGGAAAGCGGCAAGGCGCCGAAGGTCACTGCAGCTCTTCCGTGCCCGCGGATGGGTTGGTTGGCTTTTTTGTCCGGCGCTGGGAATGCCACCCAGTGGGCCGGCGATTACCGTTGGATGAACGCTGCGGTGAGTGGCGCGACAAGGATTGCCGACGGCTGTAACCTGACGGGGCTCGCGTCACGGATTGTGTGGCCAGTGATTGAGCGGGCGGGGGCGCCGGCGTACAGCTTTGCTGGGCGTGGATTCACCGTGGTGGAGCTGAGCCCGAGCTAGGACGGTAACAAGCGCTGGCGGACAGGCGGCAGGGGAGGCGCCTACGTTGACGGCTAGAGGATGGGCCCCTGAGGGGGCACTCTCGTGCCTGCGTCGGTTCCCGGCAGCACGACGGACGCGGGCGATGGGGCGGCCGCCGAAGAAATACTGCTGCCGCCGCAGGATGAGTTGGCGCACGTACTTTTTTGGGGGCGGCGAGGGTGGTGCAGGGGGCGCAGGGAGCGACGTGACGCTGACGAGCGTTTTTCTGTACAGCCGGAATGCTGAACGCCACGGAGCTGAAGGCGCTCGTGGAGGAGAAGTCCACCCCTTCGCAGGTCACGTGCGACAGCTCCGTGCGTGGGTGTGGGGCCGCCTGTTTCTCTTCTGAGCGGAAGGGAACAGCAGGGGAGGAGGTGGACCCGCGCTGGAAACCGTGCCAACTTTTTTTTGCTCGTGTTTTTCTTTGTTTTGGGAGCCGAGCCCCCTTTTCCTCCTTTTTTTTTGCTTTTTTGCTGTGCGCACACCCTCCCGTTGAGGGGCGGGCTCCTTCTCCACACACCCCGAAGAGGGCCGCCGCGTTGCAGCGATGAGGCCTCCACGAGGCGGAGCAGCACCGCTGCTCAGAAGGCCCCCATGAAATGCAACTGGCATGGGTGGGCATGCGGGGACCACAATGAGGAACAACAAAAATGATTTTTCTTCTTTTTGTGGGCAAAAAAAAATATGAACAAACGGTTTTTGCAGCCGCACGCTGCTGCACGCCAGCCTGCTGCTATTTTTTATTTTGCGGAGAAAACATCATGGAGGGCGACAATTCTTTTTTGGGGTTTGTGGCGGTGTTATGCATAATGGAGGACGCTTCCCTTGGTTTTCATCTTTTTTTCAGTGGCTGACCGCCGCTTTGGCTGCGGTGCCATCTCCAGCCCCAGTTGTCTCCGTTCGCTGCCTTTCCGTCCCGCACCTCCACTGCATGTGCTTTTGTTCGTGTGGGCTTATGCCATGCTTGAATCTTTTTTTATTTTTGTATCTTCAGACACACACACATACACGACAGATGTAAATAATGTACTGCAGTGCGCGTGGGGGATGGCTACGTGGTCAGTGCTGGCAGTGCTGCCTGTGGCTGCTGTTGTCTTTGGTGGGGATGAAGAGAAGAGAGAGACGAAGGGGGAGGTGCGTTGTGGGCCATTCTCCCTTCCCTTGCGGATGCAGGGCGCTGCATGTGGGAGTGTTGTCTTGAAGCGCGGCACCGCCAACTGCAACAGCGTGGCACGGGGTGGGCGGCCTGTCTTGTCTGAGTTTGCTGCCGCTCTGGGTGCGTCCGCGCGGCACTTCGTCTTGCTGCGTATTCGGGCCTTTCTTTTGGGTTGTGTGGCTTGGTGGCGACGGTGGCGGGGTGTTTTTGCCTCCACTTTCATGCGTTGCCGTGGCAG